GTGTCGGCATCCGGTCTGCGGACTGGAAGACAGACCTCGTCAGTGCAACAACGTTCCGGATTCAGAACTCCGGAAGGGAGGTCTACTTGCTTACATTTTTGATGCCAAGACGAAAAAGGTTGCCACCCTTCTTTCCACGGTTGAATTTGCGCTCCGCCATTCTCCTTAGCTCCAACCTAGATTTACACATTTCCCCCACTAAAAAATAAATCAGGGTTCAATCGTGCTGACAGCGCTAACCGAATCTCCCTCGGAAGGGCAAATGCCGCATGCACAATAACTCAGGGCATCAACAAAAAAATATTCACAGGATATTCAGCATTGTTGCGAAATGTTCAGGAAGTGAGGATCCAATGTTCACAAGCGTATTTGTGGCATATCAAAGAAATGAGTGACTCTTCGAACCTACTATGGATCCTGTTGATCAAGAAAACTACCACTGATGGCTTCCGTCGACTAACAAATACCGATGAATCCCATTTAAAGGCCACAGCTCATAAGACGGAGAATGAATCAACATGGTGAATCATTATGCTCTATGCTGTAACCTATGGTTCTGCGCTGCCTCGTCAGCTTGATGCTTCAGCCATCGCGTGGAGTCAACAAGGCTAGACCACAAACGCCAAGCTGACACCTGACATATGATACACCTCGTACTTATATCTGCAGATATGCGGAAAATATGTGTATGGGACAAGATTAGTGCAGACCTGGGCGTCTGTTCGAGGAATAGGCGACCAATGATGGTTCCCTCGTGGAATGCACTTTCAAAGACTAACTTCATCTATAGTGTGCAAGTCAATAGCTCTTTGTTGTCCTTCCGGCTTCCTCAGAGGATGATAATGCCAGAGGTGGTATTGGCCTAAGTCTCCAATCCTTGGGTTAGGCCTGGGCTTGGGAAATCAGTAATTCCGGCATTAGTTATGCACAAAGGGGGAGAAATGTTTCCGGAAAACCATTATCTGAAAACTCCCAAAAACACCTATTTTCCTTCAAGGAAGGGAACCCTTCAAGGAATGGAACCCCTCGTCGCAAGTTCCGCCGGAGAGAGGAATTTCCCGTCCTATGAACAAGAAAATCATAAATAGGAACAATTCACAAAGCATTTCACTTATTCTTTCTTAATCGCCAGTTGCCACCAGCGTATTTGTGGCATAGCAACCTAACGGCTATTCGTCTACCCAGTTTCAACCTCTCATCATTTATAAAACATAATACATTTAGAGAATACGATTGCGTGGACTGGTACTGCTTTTCCGTTTCCCCATTTTATAACGTGTCACACGGCCTTAGATTTGCAATTAGAACTAATGAAGAAGGAAACGCGTTGTATTTCGCACAAAAATCAGCTGCTTCGAGTTACCGACGTCATCATTCAGGACAAAGCGCCGATGGCGCCCACTGAAGCGCTTGCAACGATCGCAGGAGCCTTGCCAAACTCGACATCGCAGAATCGACACAGTGAATAACGACCATGGTGAGGAAGGTGACTCCCAAGGTGAACCCCAATCGGCAGGTCGACTTCTCAGTTGAATTCTTCACCATTCCCTATCGAGCTTAATTTTAGTGTGGTTCTAGACATAGAGTCATGGAAGTACCCCAGAAGAACCTACAAACACTATACGACCACAGCCAACCAAGACGCAGCCAGTCTCCTTGTGACCATCCTGGCAATGACGTCCCACACTCCACGTCCTTTGAATTCATGGGAGAGGCAAGCCTTTTTCTTTCAACTACCCTTGGGAGAAACATAATACTTCGGCGATGACGGAACAGGACTCGACCTCCCCAATTCACGTCAGTCATCCGGGAAATATGATCGAGAAAACCACCCGGACCCTTTGGGTTATGGTTTGAAACGACAGACGACTTATCGACACAAGACCTATACCTGACATATCCATCTCGATTCCAAATATCTTCTCAAATCGTCTCTCTCTCCCGCGCCGTGCCAGGAACCGAGAGAGAGGGAAAGTGGGCAAAGTGTCTTGAATCCCCAATCAAGATTTTCCCTCTCCATCTCGAATGTTTAGATACTTGGAGCATTTGCTCTAATCTATGACATATCCATGACGTCATACCATTTCATTTTTAAAGAAATGAGTGTTTAACCCTTTCGCTGTTAGCCCGAGTACGTACTCGGGCTCTGAAGCCCAGTCCTTTTAGGTTGTTTTTCTTCTATTCATGGATGTAGCTGACATACATTCGGAATTAAAGAAAAAGCTTTTCCCATATGATAGGGTTTTTTTTATCGACGTATATGACTTTCGGAAACATTAAATAACAAAAAGTAAAGTGCGTATCTCTATCGACCCATTCTGTAAAAAAATGGTTTCCTACGCACTTAGTTTTGCCTTAGATGATGATGAAATAAATATAATTTTAAATGCTAATTGTGACATTTACTATGTTAGTAGTGAAAATGAAGGTGAAGTAGAAATGGAAATCGAAGCTGAAACTTAGGAATATGAAAATTACGATGGTGGGAGTGGAGATGCAAACAGGAATAGAGGCAGGCCGAGAGGGCGAAAAACTGTTAATGTACCTGAGTTTAGCAAAAATCCCCATGCAACTCATTTCTTGACTTTTACAGGAAATCCTGGGTTTAAATTTGAGTATTCCAATCTCCCTGTGATAGACGATTCTGCACGAATTTTCACAGATGAACCGGGTCAATTTATATGTTCCTCGCAATATATGCTCACGGAAACCTCCTTGAACAGGAAATAACAGAAGCATACAGGTATACATTTGCATCAGACCTGATTTTTAACACATCACTAAATGAACATTCCAGGGTAAAACGAAGGAGAAACCTATACGTATAGGAATTTCGCATATTTATATTGGCACTGATTTTAATGGGCATTACAATACGGCCTCCTATTCAGTCTATGCGGAAACTGATAAACTTTTTATTATCCCTGCTTATGGTAAAATCAAGTCTATCAATGGATTTACACGCATCTCAAAATTCGTGCACTTTTCTGATAACACTCTGGCTGTTCCTTGAAATAAATGTTTAACACATGTTGGTCTATTCTCAATAGTAAACCATTGTTTCGCAGAGAGACAGCGCAATTCTCATAACACAGTGGATGTCGTAAGGGCTTTTTTTTAAAACAGAGAAAGTGTTAAAATATATACTAGCCGCAGAAAACGCAGCGAAAAGTCCTTAGCGGTCCCTTGCACGGATTCGAAATGTATTAGAATCTCTTTCTGAAAATGAAGAAAATCCTTGTACTCAATATTGGCTTCCCTCCCATGGCCCCTTCCACGTTTCGTAGTTCGCACAGACTATAGGCCGGCATGCCTCTGCCCTTCCAGTCCATAGGCTAGGCAGGATGGTGTGAATAATTATCTATGATGCAATTCGCCGTGCCCAGTTCTGTGATGACCAGGGATGAATGAGAGGATACATATACCGAGAGATGAATGGAGGCAGCGTGGGGCTGTGTTAATTACTGAGGGAAATGAGGCTAAAACTTTGCAGAGAGCAGCAAGAGGGCCGTTTCGTACGATCTTGGACATATGCATATGGGATGCACTGTTGAGCACTGCCAGGCTCATCGTTTGTAAGTGGAGAGAGGCAGATTTATCCATAGTTGTCCTAATGATAGGGCGTTCCATCTGAACCCGAGCATCCGCCGTCGATTGGGGAAGATTCAAACGCTCGCGAGTTTCCTTGTTTCCAAAAAGGTGCAAAAAGCCCGTGATGATTCGAGCTACCGATTTCATCATTTGGGATGAAGTGCCAGCAATGCTTAAGCGGGCTTTATGAGACCCAAAGAACCCCATTCTAATGGCGCTGGGTGGCGCGTTTCGCCTAGTGTTGCGAGTCGAATTCAAAGCTCCTCGCAATTAAATATACCTTTAAATACCTAATATGCGGCTTCTGCAAAGGAAATTCGCTTTAGTGAATGATTACTCGATGTAGGCAATGGATTACATCATATATGCCATGTACCTGGATAAGATTTCAATAAAGGGTCATTCCACGTCAATTCGACCAGACCGTAAGCTCGACCAACACCGAATTGGATGAAAATAGCATTACATGTAGCGGAATCGATTTAAAGAAGCCAATTTCAGGCAATTTTTATATCTCACAACAATCTCCTGATATATGCATTTGAATGGTGCCAATTTTTACCTCCCTGTGCCCATATTTACAGGAATTGTGAAACTGTTTCTGCAATAAATTCTCTTATAATTAAGATAGACGCTTCATTCTGGTCATTTTAATTGCTAAATCGCCATCTTTAAACTGATTATAGACAATATCCTTCAAAGATAAAAAAAAGAGATTCCACGCGACCGAACGGTTTCATCGTGTTGAGTGTTGAAAAGCGACACCTTTGGAATTCTTCGTTCCAATAATTTATTCAAAAGCGGATGTTATGCCCTTTCTAAGGATACCAAATTCGAGATTGGCACACAACGGATTATTGAGGCTATTTGACTGATGCAATTGTACTAAAATCTCTCTTGACGGAACAGTTTGACCAGTGTCAGCGACAGACATCTGCAGCTCCCCCTCCAAGCACATGCCTTCTCAAGTACTTCGGGGCAAAAAAAAAATCACTCTGGATGCACAGAGGTAATCCTTTGCACACTCGTTGCACACTTTGTACAACGAGGAGGAAATAATAATAATGAAGCTAGTATACCAGTTCACACCACCAGAATAATGAAAATCGGTGAAGGGTGATCTCCAAAGATCCTCTCGCTCTCTAATCCTTGGTTGTCATATGGGAAGTATGAATCCTGGTAATAAGGAAAACACACATCATCGGACGTATATACATGCTGGAATTTATTTGGTGAGACAAAGCTCCATATAATATGAACCAGAAAATTGTAATTTCGAAGGCTCTTCACAAGTGAAGTTCAGTTTCTCAAATAGCAGTGGACCTCTCCACAAGAATATATAATACTAAAGTGACCTTTGCTCGGTCTCGTGACCGAGATTTTCACTATAGAACATGTGACGAAAGAAATATAGTGTGAAAGGTTGTATCCCCAAGTGACGAGTACATGGTGCAAATTTCTTTCTAAGATGGTCGCTGAGCAGAGGCAAGATCGAAACCAGCATTCTGAGTTTCCTTGAGGGGCGAAAGGGTATAGACGAGGGGACCCGTGAACTCCGGTTCACTTTTTTTGTCAGTCCCTGCTTGCATCATGGAGATGGCGAATGTGATGAATGCAGTGAATGTAGTGCTGACATAGCAGTGACTCACAGGTGATGAGGACTCGTCGCTTGGGCCCCATCGCCTCGTGCCGAGGTTTCCTCCAACCATGGAAGATGATGTTGAAAATCCATTCCATCACTTCCAGAATCGAGATGAAGGACAGCCCAGTGTAGAGACCCAGTATCCCTCCCAACGTACCGACGAAGGTCGACCACTAGACCATAAACAATGTTGCGGACCTAATAGTGACACTTTCGGGAATCCCAACTTTCGGACCTATGAACGAATTCAACTCACGGGATATTGAAGGTGTTCCATAATTGTCTCCACAGCAAAGGTCTCATAATAGACGTTTACCACTGCAAGATTTTCTCTGTATAAAAAGGCAATAGGCATGAGCCTTTAGACCAGAAATGGGTTTCATATTACAATCCGCGTGTCGTATACTTAATGGCGACCTGTAAACACTATTATCGTCATTCAACCATTGTTCAATCAACCAAGAGTTTAAGCGGAAATAGCAGACTTCGGATGTAGACAGAAAGTCCTGTTTTTCAGCTCGTTGTCGCTCATGTTCTTCCTTTTCGCCTCTGCCATCCAGGAGATGAAATGCAGGAGTAACACCTCGTCGCGACTCAT